TGACTCACCGCGTTATACTACATTCCGCTTTGAGAGCGATATTAAATCACTCAATCACTCTGCTAGCTGCCATGCGTGCACACAGTCCCCTAAGCACGGGCCGAGAGGTCAAAAACGTTAGCTATTGTAAGAAAACATGCACGAACGCTTTGCATGGGCTTATAAGGCTCGGAAACAGTAAGTACGAGCTGAAACTGACCCGGTCTACACCCTTAGTACGGGCTAACGACGTATGCGCGAACGCTTTGCTAGGTCTAAGCGCCCAAAACACGATTGTATTGTCCGTTTGGAAGATTTACTATATTCATGACTATTCATTTCGATATGCCATTACCGATATGACAGTCAACGCGAGTGCATCCAGGAGCACCATTCACAGGAAAAAATGGACTGAACTTTACAACTAACATGTAACTACCTGGTAATTATAGTTAAAAGGCCTGACGAAGATTTGTAAATTTGGGTATTCCTTAACCAGAGCTAACTGTTGTTCCCTCCCCCGTGTGAACGCAATTGGTTCTAGCCGTAATATAAACTTAAGAAATTAGCTTAAATCTTAGCCCATACTTAGCGTAGCGTGAACACGTCTATGAATCATGCATTATCAAACAATCAAGTTGTTATTAATATAAAATAATTCACGATTGATTTAGTAGTTTAATGGGGTTGATAATATTTATACGCTCGATCGTTTTAATTATAACTTTGTACTAGATAAAAAAGGAATATAATATCTCGATGACAACACATACATTGGTATTCAAAACGCTCATAATGTCATAACTAACTCCTAAGTATATCATCAAAGTACGTGAAAACGCCGGGAATTGACCTTCAAAAAACGCACTTATTAAATTATCCGAGTTTATTGGCACCAATCAATATTCAAGTGCATGGTATCTTGATCATGTTAATCAATAAAGACACCTTGTATTAAGTTTGGATATCATCGCCTCGGATATACCCAGGGAAAATCTACGTTTCCTTTATAGCTGACCCATCCATGTATTCTGTGACCGGAAGCTGTGACCTCGCCCTCGCTCGCGCGTAAACACAGACGTTTGGTACTCGCACCAGGTATACCTGAACATTTTGAAGTTGTGATATGTTTGTTTAGTTACATTCTGGACACAAGGAACTACAATAACACGTCATCGTGACGTGTAGCTAGGAGATTTGGTGTCGTGCGTGAACGTCGGTTCGAGTCACGTGACATACTTCATGTTTACTTTATTTTTAACATAGTATTTACCTTTTTCTGTATTCGTTGTTATTTGCTTGCTTCGCCTCAAATATTAGCAGCGACTGTGGGTTTGAGCCGCGGATTTAATTAAATTAATCCAGAATTTATCTACATGACAGTATGTTGTACTCTTACCTGGTATAAAAATACTGGAGTAATGTTGTTATTGAGAACTTGGAATAAATGAGTAAAAAAAGGAATTAAATCTGGGAATCTACTTTATTTTCCATGAGAAAACTCTTCTTTTTTCAAGACTGCATCCCATGGCGAAGGTATCTTATCATATTTCTATTTTTGCTTGGTGATTTAGGCTGAACATATATCTAGGCAGACTTGGAAGTTTTTGGGGGGCTTTAGAATTATGTTAAAGCGCGGTTCGTCGCGCTGCGCATGTGCGAGAATATATGGGACTCATATAAACATAAAACTGGCACTTTGACTGTT